AGAAAATCGGGAAAGGGAAGGGAAATGAGATTGGGAATGAGAATTCCTTTCTGTGGGTAGGTAGGTACTTTCGAGGGTATTCATGTATATATGGGTTCTTGGTTCGGAGGGCATGGGAGATGTGGGAGATGGGAAATGGGGAATGAGGAGAATTGGGGGATGTAGGAGATGTGGGAGATGTGGGAAATGTGGGAAATGGGAAAGCAGCATAAGGAAGTAGAAGTAGAAGTACGTGTGTAAATGTGGGTGGGAATTTGGAAGTGGTGTTGAGGATTTGATTATGATCTGGTTCGTGTTTATGGGTTTCCAGTCTGCGTTTTGGGGTTGGGTTTTCTCGCGTTGCTTTTTCATTCTGCGGAGGTTGCGCGTGCGTTGGCTCTGCAATCTCCACTTTCTCGATCTTCTCTCTCCTAATAATATCCACATCCTTCTTTCTCTCGACGGGTTTCTCTTCGTCTCCTCGGAGTCTTGATCAGGCCCAGAAATTGCAAAGAGAGAAGGGGAAGTTAGTCTCGAGTACCTAGGTAGTGTTAGTAAAGCTCTGATGTAAGTAGAGCTGTTCCTTTTGTAGTTTCTCTCCTATTGTTCTCATCTACCCTGTCTTGGATATCTTCAATTACGACCCTTTGTCTTCTCATTATGCTCTGAGAGAAGTCATGCTTGCTATAGATACATAGGCTAAATACCTAGTAGTTCTCCGGAGCACGTGCTCCAGAGACAGCAAGAATACCTAGGTCCGTGGAAGTGGATGTGGGTTTTGAGAGATAAATGATAAATGACAGAGGATTTCACATAATACATCATACATGATTTCTACAAACCTTTTCCTAATATTACTAGATATATTGCAGTAAAGTGCGGAGACGGAGTGGGAACGACATTCTGGATCCTCTTAAATGTGCCAGGGGAAACTCGGCGTCGGACTGTGCACAGCTAGGAATTGGAACATGGTATTCTCTACGGTCATTTCTGATGATGAATTCGGTTGGTTGTTTTGAGGATGTATTTTGAAAATGCTAGAAAGACTGGATCTGTAGATACATGAAGATCAAGTGAGTGGTATCTTATGGTATGCGTTAGCACATTAGGTTGGTTACTCGCTTGGAAAGTAAAAAGGCTAGTGTTGTATGCTAGGATTTGATGGACGAAGAGCCATAAAAGCTATGGAGGTGGATCATTGAAAGTTTATGGATGGGGTTTGAGGTGGAGGACAGAACGTATACAGTTATAATATGCTCAGTGCAAATTGAAGAGTGTTCGCGGGGGATAGAGACTGTCAAAATTCTATTTGCATACCAACTGTAGCGGTCTTGAGTTTTTAATCGATCGTACATGCAAAAGTAACACTTGTACATAAAATGTACCTCTAGATAATGTGTATAGTACTAGCTTATCATTATTCAAGAACTTGCAGATTGGAAAGTATATTAAAATCCAAGATATCAAATATCCATAATCGATCATATTGAAACCCAACAAACTAACCACTTCAATCCATCCCATATCCCTAAACTTACATTCGCACAAGGGTGTTCTGGAAAACTCTCAAATCCCTCTCTTACCAGATTTTTCACCCCGTCAATCCCATGATCTACCCAAAGAGCTTTCTTAGGTATCATAGCATCCGTCTCGAGGTCTTCCCTATCGATACTCCCCATCGCAAAATCTAACATTTCAGGCCATTCTTCTGGCATAGGATTAACACGATATCAAACATTCGTCCCACAACGATCATGGAAATATCGAGTGCGAGTTTTAGATGATATATAAGCTATTAGGATGAAGCATCAGCTAATTGCGCAGCTGGGAATAACTCTTCAGCAGATACCCAAAGCCCTCTGAGATTTGTCTCATCATTATCTCGATTCTTCTGCGGCCTTAGTCAAAAGGAGCTGAGATACCGCAGATCGAGGAAGAAGCGAGAAGGTGATATAATTAATCGGTGAGCACAGCCAAAGTAGCAGTACGGCGCTTGTAGCATGACGACAGTCGTTGCAATAATCGGTGGCTATCACGAATAGCTGGGTATCGTCCACTGAGTTTGTGTTGTCTGAGTAGGGTGGAGGGGTCTTTGATAAAGAGATGAAGATTGGATTTCGGAGCGAATCGCGCGGTCGTTGCAACTACCACATGCTGAGAGAGAGGTTTCTGAAGGCATTTTCAGCGGTAGAAATGGTTGATATGAATGACGGACTTGGAATTTGTTGAGGATTAAGATTGCTTTCGATTTGATTCGAGGGATGAAGATAGTTGCTCTCTGGACTTTGGAGAATGGGAGTTTGTAAGACTCATGAATTGATATCAAGGTATATTGTCATATTTCTGTTCCTTGTTGATAGTGCTATGCTATCTTATACAAATATAAATGTATACATACTTGGGCTATGTGCAATGAATCCAAGAATCCAAATCTTGCCCTTTTCAATTGACGTTTCTTGAACATACTTTCTAAATCACATTGTCATAGAGCCATGGAGTAATGTTGTCGATGTTAAGCAGTGGAATCTCCATGTTTTCTTCAACTACGCTCGCGATTTCATCGTTGGTTGAAAAGCTGATGATGTTGTTGATTCTTTTGGGAACGGGATTTGCCAGATTGATTATTCTAATTCGATCTAGCTTTCTTTTTGCAGAGATGAGAGAGTAAGAAACTGAAAGTTATTATTCACTCACAGATTGTGGAACTTGTTACAGAATTCATAGAATCATCAGATGATTGCACGTTCGGCACAATTGTTCAATAAGCTCTGTCCTCCCCCCGCCATTTTCGGATATTCGATGTAGAAAGATGTGTTTGGACGCCAGTGATGTGACGCTTGAGGGATCTGATTTTGGTGGCCACTCCTGTCTGTGGATTAGAGTGTAGCCATGCTATCTAAACCTAGCCATTTGGCACCTCGTTTCATATAGAGCTGAATAGTGTGATTAGAGTATTCCACATTCCGGACCGCGATAATTTGAGACTCTAATTTGAACTCGATTGGGCGATTGAAAGTTTTCGGAAGTTGAGAGGTTCTCAAGGATCAAGATCTTCTCGAACGGGTAGATGAAAGCTCTTAAGTCCCTTGTTCTAGGCTAAACGATTGCAGATTCTAGTAGCCGTTTCTTAACCCATTCTTTGAACAAGCTTCCATAGAGCCAGGAATTTATGGTCAGTGTGTATGAATAGTAGTGTGTCATGAATGGTCGAATCAAGTAAGTGGATGGATGTAGAGATTGCTAGGACGAAACGAGTCTGATGAGGGCTGAGGCCCAAGTATATATGGTACAGATACATTGTAAGAGAACCATGTTGAACTACACCCAGGCAATATATATCCAGCTTCACTAAATCCAGAGAGTCCGAACTCTTTAGCGTAGTATGAAACTTTTGGGAATAACATATCAAATTCCGCAAGGTTACGTGGTGCATAAACAACACGGTACGAATGGAGATAGAACGATGAAGTCGAAAGGTAGTAGTAGATGAAATGAACACCTAAATCAAAACCAACCCAGCAATGCCAATCTTCTCTGTACGTCACCAAACTATCAGGTTGCACATATATGTAAGTCGGAAAATAAATCCGGACAGCACTACCTATTCACTGGGTACCAGAGTAAATCAGCGACTATACAGATGCACAGCTAGAGTAATGAATTCCCCGGACTCTAGTCCAGAAAATGGTAAACTATTCCCCGCATCGAATGTTGGAAAGAACTATCAATCTATCATCTTCTACGTATCTGTCAACCGTAAACAACTGAACTTCCCGAAGACTACGAGGTGTACATAACATGTACAGCTGCAACCATTCCGGAGTAGTCAAAGACTGTAGGATCCACTCTCAAGCGGACCGGATCTCACTGCGGGGCTGTTAAATCATCTACTATATTCCAATTCACCGTAAATATAATGTTATAAATGAAACCTTCAAACACAAATCATCCAAGGCCGGATGGTGTAGTTGGTTATCACATTCCCTTTACAATATGCCTCTTTGAAGTGTGTCTGAAATCGGGAAAGGTCCTGGGATCGTGCCCCAGTCTGGTCATTTACTCTTTTGGCTTTTGGTGGTAGGGAAATGAAGGGGGATTTCTTTTTTGTTCGCTTATGAACAAGATTTTTGTGTATGTTCCGTGCACATTTGCCGAAAATTACTTGGAACCGGGCAACAATATATCATGAAAGTCCCCATGCCGTACACAAAATCAACAATTGGTATGATCATTCATTAATTACCTCACTGTTGTTGTTCATGATACCGGTACTCACAGCTTTTATTTCGGGTCAAGCTAGTCGGCAATCACGCAAACCCCCGCATGCATTTCCAAGCTCCGTTGCGAAATTTTCCCCTCTGAGCTCCGTAATACCAGGGCCCCAAGTCATAATCGCGCACGAAATGGGTACATACGGGGCCTTGCGGAGAACAATATGTGCGCTGACGTGCATAAGCCCACTTATCGGTTAATAGACGCTCAGTCACATTCCATATTGGTTAGGTCTCGAACTTCTTTAGAAATTCACATGTAAGATTACAATTCGACGTGTATCAGGGAAGGTTAATAAAGTGCCAGGACTCAAAGTGGTTAGACTAGCGAATAGAATGATGTGGTACAGAATTTCTTTAGAGTTCGCAGAGCTGACAGAAATATCTTTGCGAATAGGAATAGTGAATGTAGACTAGCTTTTGTGATACTACCATCTAGAATTTCCAATGTCACTTTGATTATACTTGCATATCTCGAATTGTAATAATGGGATCAATGAATGCTATTAGCCGGTAAGCTGTTCCGATAATCGTTCTTTTCTACCGTCGTAGCTAAATTATATGTTACGTTTCCGTTGTAACTTCTATCGATCAATCAGGGCCAGAAGGAGCAAGTGTGATTTCTTGAAGCTAGGTTTCGCATATCTTTCGCCTTGTCCCGATATGATGTTCATAAACAAATATGCCGGAATTTGTTTCCTGGGTATAGAAAACCTCCACATTTTCAAAGTACTCTATTAGACCCGGAGCTTATGCAAAGTATATTTCTTTGTCTAGTGGCCAGGAGTAGAAGTTTATCTAAAGACTGAAAATAATCTGGACGAGGTTGATGCAGAATACATACAAAAATGATATCAGGCCTGCATAAAGCCTTTCTTACTGGGCCAATAGTAGACACGGTGGATGTGGCGTCCGGTCCAGATGTAGGTTCGTCGAGCATGATGGCTAACGGTGCTGCGGCAAGTTTGATTCCGATACTTACACGCTTTTGCTGACCTCCTGATATTACCGGTTCGGATGGATCACCCACAAGTATATTTTGACTATGACTGAGTCCAAGACAAGAGAGGAGATCATCAAGATGACTTTAGATTTCAATTCCTGTTCATGTTCAAGATAGGCGTATCCTCGCGGAGTGGAGAATGCTCTCCAGCACTGTAAGCTCAGACAGCATAACGTCGTCTGGTGGAACATAACCAATGATCTTCTTGAGCCTAGCCTGATCAACACTAACGTTCAGAGTACTGTATACAACACATATAGTCCGATATACTCCTGACATCGCCATTCACATAAGTTGTGTCCGAGGTTTCTATAAGTCTACTCACCATCAATCGAGTAAAAGAGTCAGAGAAATATTAATGAACCCACTGGGAATATCCCAAGGAATGAAAATCGTCGTGAACTACCTTAATGACATGAAGAGTGCACATCGCCTTGGATGAGCTGAAAGATCCAAGAGAACAGTACTTACCTGGAGGAGGACATGGAGTCTGCTCTCGACCTCTATCGGGGCAGTAATAACCTGACTTACGTGTTATCGATACGTAGGGACCCTGACTTTGCTGACAAGTATTCCAAAGTTTCCAGACGTGTAAACTCGCATTCTGTCGTTGGGAGGATAGTATTGAGATGGAATCTGACCCCCATTATTTGGACCTGTAAAATCAGAGAGAGAGAGAGAGATTTTCAAAGAAGCCAAGATTGGAGGAAGTGATATTGCTCAAAGCAACAGGTGTAATAATTTCGGCAAGACAAAGGAGCCATCATGGACTATTAAAACGTATGTATTATATGGAGTTGAATTGAAACCATGGCTCGACTAGTCTCGAGTCTCAGGCCAATACCATTGCTCGTAAATTGAGGAATGAACGAACGATGATGACGAGTATACATGTATATAGAGTTGGAGCCAAAGCACGGAGTACATGAACGAACATCGCAATCCGACTCGTAGGATTCGAAATTTCGGGCTGACAAGCACGGAATACCACCCTCTTCTTACCGTATATTAATACATTTAATATAAACCCCCATGCCAATGGCGTTAAAAGTAACATTGTGACAGGGCTGGTCGCCAGCGCTTACATGTAAGAATATGAGGTTCTTAATAACGTCTTGCCCAAGTGTTGCGAGACCAAATGATAAATGTACATAATGTCTTAAAAATTACCCAAGAGATCAAAAATTCTCTCAGAAGCCGATTGAAACAATGGCCGCTCCCCAAGAAAAATATATTCATGATATTAACGGATCTTGGTTACTCGTGAGTTAGCGATCTCAACACAGGACCGGTAACCTTCAAGAATTGCGCATTTATGCTGACTAAGTAACCTTGTTCTTGGTCCTTTCTAGAACAAACGCCTCTCAGACTCACTTAAACATGTTCTCCGACTCCAGAATGTAAATTGGTTTCTCCGGCGCGCGATATCTTTTGCAGATGTAACTATCCATGCATCTCAATCAAAAGATGAAAACGGGTTGGTGACCATCATGATGGATCATGTTGCGGGCGTGGGACTTGCGCTCACGACCGAGATGAGACGATTAAATTGGGCGACGCGAAAACAAAAAGATTGCATATGGGGCAATATACGGACGCGGAGTAGATATATTCCTACTGCAAATGTAGAGGAAGGAGAGAAGTTTCTGAAATCGGGTTGGTTGGAGGAAACGGTTTTGGGTGACTGTTTACAAGATAAAACTGAATCGTCGACGGGTTCTTGGACAAGTGTTACAGTGACTATCTTTATTTTCCTGCTTGGTAAGGGGACATGACTGACTTGTCTTATCATAGGTATGGGGATTTGAACAGATCAAAGGCGAGCGGAGATTGTCACGGCATATTCTTGTTCGAAAGGGATATGAGATTGCAACGGCTAGACTGGTCTATGACTATATAGGCCCTATACACCCCGTGCAGTAATTACGAAGATGGATATAGTACCGATGAATTTACGGTATGAGAAGTGTCGCGTATTTCTTCACGGTGTTTCCGACGTATGGTTTCGGGAAGGACATGAAATAAGATGCAGCCGGAACTGTTATCAAAGTTTCGATATCCGACGTTAGTACGATGATATTGTCCGTCATCGGAGGCAGAGTGTTGGGCTTCGTGGATGATCGAAAAGATTTCATTTTATGTAAAATAGCATAGCGAATTTTAATGATCCAAATTTTACGACCATATCTAACATTGTCAGACGGCAGTACAATCTTAGATAATCTGACTCTCACAACTACCAAAGAGTGACATCTAATCTTAACAAAGGCTAAGGGCTTGCAATACCTCTTCGAACTTATACAGCTTCTACGTGTCAGCATTCCATTGCGACATACAGAATTTTACGCCGCTAAGCAGGGAATCAAAACCCTGTACTTCGCAATACGCCAAGGGAAAGCCCCTTTTTTGACGTGACCTTTCTATCCTTCACTGGGACCAATCTTCTTACTGGATGTACCTCTATACTTCGACAGACACGCCTCATTCACTCGGTCATATCTAATTACAAGTCCAAAATCAAATACGTTACTTCATCAATTGTCTTCTTTGAGATTTACATTTGTGACATTATGCAAGCAGAGAAGATATTAAATACAACCATTGCTTTCTAATAAACTTGATCATCATTTATTAAAATGATAAATTACAAGTCTACATACAGTTTGCACTCGCGTGCGTATTAATATCTAAAGCTGCAACACCAAATCTTATAAAAGCCCCATCCACATTAAAAGAAGTAGATTCTTATATCCTTCGCACACGCCTCATCTTCTAATACACCAGACCCCCTAATAAAACAAATAATTTACCTAATTACTAACATTTCCACTCTCCAAGTCCCCATCCTTCTCAGAGAAGTCAACTTGAGCCTTCGTTCCCTTTCTAGTGATATGCGAACTCTGCGCCTTCAAAATCTCCATGATCACCATTCCGGGGTCTTCAGCATCGGCGTTGCTTGTCACACCGGTTGTCTTTCTGGCCCGAGTTCTGAAATAGACCCTCTTGACCCACTTCCAAGACTCTATCCCCCAAAAGAACAAGAAAGACTCGACAAATACGATTCCCCATTCCCAGCTAATACCCTCATGTTTGAATACCTTTCGGTTGATAACAGGAATATATAGTGTGGGAAACACAGTTACGAATCCAGCCACGACAGCCCAGAACAAAAGTTTGTTTGCCCAGATATCGTGGATCCATTGAGTGAAGTACTTTTTGCTTTTAGGTTGCATGCGGAAGAAGGATCTTCGCATGTTGATCATTTCCCAAGCGAGGAAGAGAGAGAACCAGGTCAAACAGACGAATGTAGTTGCTCGAGCTCGGAAAACGGTATCACATCGATCGGAATAACGATCATTGCAGTCGAAACCGAGATCACCGTTACCCCAACCGAAGAGAACAAGAGAGAAAGCGGAGAGGCAGAGAGCTGCCATCCAGAGGCCGTAGACTACCATGTCGATCATTATTTCTAAGGTGAATACACCATTCTGAGGTGGTCGATTCATGATATCCGGTGCGGCGACCTCGAAACCAAGACCCATATCTGGCATACCTGAATTTTATTGTCTTAGTAAACGACTTTTGATACAATTTAGGCGAGATCTTACCTGATGTGATCATAATGACCCATAGAATCTCTACTGGTGCCAGTGGAAATACTGAAGTTCCCATAATATCCTTGAAAGCGAGACCAATCAGAAGTGTGCAAGCTTGAGCAATATTCTGCGCCAGCAAATGTAATATGAATTTTTGAATGTTGTCAAACATTCTTCTCCCTTCTTCGACAGCATTAAGGATCGAAGCAAAATTGTCGTCCATAAGAACGATATCCGATGCATCCTTAGCTACATCTGACCCTGCTTGACCCATTGCAATACCGACATCTGCTCTCTTCAGTGAAGGCGAATCGTTGACACCATCACCTGTCATGGCAGCAAATTTTCCTTTCCTGTGAAGAGCTTCGATCATTCTAACTTTTGTCTGTGGCGAGCAGCGTGCTATTACTAGAGGGAGCATTGGGAGAGCATCAATTTCTTCATCGCTGAGCCTGTCGAAATCGCTAGCTTTCATGACCATCACGTTCATCACATCTTGCCCTAGTGTAGAAGAGTCCTGGGGTAAGATTCCTACCTGTCCTGCGATAGCACGAGCTGTTTCTGGATGGTCGCCAGTGAGCATATGCACCTTGATACCAGCCTGGTGGCATTTTTGCACCGACTCCAAAGATTCCACGCGCGGAGGGTCATAAATTCCAATCAGTCCATGAAAAGTTAAATCTTTCTCTACGTCTGCGCGATCATGTTTAGCATTGATTCCGGTATAATGTTCCCATGGTTTACCAGCCAGAGCTAGAACGCGAAGACCATCGGCGGCAATGGCTTCCATGTTGTTGAGAATATCTTCGCACATTCCTTCGTTCATTGTTACGAGCTCTCCGTCTCGCATTCTCATCTGTGAACATGATGAAAGAATCCGCTCGACTGCGCCCTTTGTGAAAACCTGTGCGCTATCAGATTGTTCATGTTTGAAGATGACTGACATTTTCTTGACATCAGAATCGAAAGGGAATTCAGCGATTTGTTTCCATTGAGGCGCACCTCCGGAAGTCCACCGTTCCCTATTCCAGTTGAATCTGGAAGCAAAGACTTGAATTGCTATCTCAGTTGGGTCACCTCTTGCTTTCCACTCGTTATTAATTTTATGAACATGCGCAAGATTTGCCATTGAGGCAATATTAAGGAAGGCTTGGAGATCGGGGTTATTTTGTAGAAGATTTGAGGAGGAATCCGCTTTTTCTTCAACCTTTTCGTTGCGCGCTTGATACGGAGACTTTTCGCTGTGAAATAAATCTCCATCTTCGGGGTCGAATGATTGACCGGAATCACCAACCGAGTAAGTCCCCCTAGCGGGCAGCCATATCTTTTTCGCTATCATCTTGCCTTGGGTAAGAGTTCCAGTTTTATCCGAGCAAATATCTGCAAAAGTTAACCATCGAGCATTATTGCGATAAAAGAAAGGCATCTTACCAGTAACGGCGCCTAGTGCTTCCAGGGCATTCATTTTGCGAACAACCACATGTTTATCATACATTGCGTTAGCTCCTGCGGCCATAGTGATAGTCAAGACTACTATTAGCGAAGCCGGAATCATCGAAAGTCCTGTAGCTACAGCGTAAATGATGACTTCTCGGTTGTTGGAAAATCTATTCGCAGCTAACACGATAATTGCACAGATGACGGCGACGACGAATAGCCCACAAGCAAGTTGCGCCAGCTTCATTTGCAATGGAGTACCAACATTTGTGCCAAGAAAATTGCCGATATAATCAAACATGGTAAGAAGCCCAGCCTGGGCATATCTATGCGGCAAAGCTTTGCCATCCTCATTACGTTTGACCTCTCGGAATTTACGCCTCTGCTGTCGAAGACTCACGGCAATTGATCCAACTTGTGATTTCATACCCACTGCGAATATAATGCCGCGTGCTCGACCTTTAGTAACTGTAGTGGAGCTGAAAGCAACATTAAGACGATCACCGGCGCTGGCATTCTCAGGAAAAATTGCATTTGAATTCTTTTCAATGGGTAGCGATTCTCCTGTCAATATCATCTCATCGGTCTCAAAATTCATACTTTCAACCAATCTACATACGGTCTGTTAGCATATACTCGGGACTATGGGGGTATTCTGGGTAAGTACCGCATATCTCCTGGAATTGTGTCACCGGTTTTGACCTCAACCATGTCGCCAATAGTAATTGTGACGGTAGCTACCGATCGAATTCCCCCTTCTCTCACAGCATGTGCCGTAGGTGAACTCAAGGAACGTAAAGAATCCATCGACTTTTCCGCCTTGAACTCATTGTAAAAGCCAATCACAATATTGAGAAATATGACTGCCGAGATGACACCGCCTTCAATATATGAGCCAATACCAAAACTCACGGCCATGGCCAATATTAGGACCTAAAAATAAACTTGGGTAAGTAAAGGAAAAATTAATTGTGAGGATAGGAGTAAACAAACCAAGATCATTGCATTGCAAATTTGATGAATAAGAATCTGCACTGGTTGAACACCAGGACCTTCATCAAGTTCATTTCTTCCATAGAGTCTAAGACGTTCTTCTGCTTCAGCCTCTGTGAGTCCATCCTCAAGGTTTGCTTCCAATTCATGTGCAACCTGCGCGTACTCTAAGGCATGAGCTGGCTTAGACAAAGGCTTGTTTGACTGACCTGAGACTTCTTCGACGATGTTAGCTCTAGCCATGTCGTATTATATGATGGAGTAATGATAGGATGTGTCGGAATGAATATGAGATCATACAGGGCGAAATTGACCTGAATAATATAAAAATGTGGTTAGAAGGACGTGGTAATATGTCTATTGAGGAAAATCACTTTCGCATTTGGGGATATACGTTCTTCATATATAGACGAATTCATCACAATTGGCAAGGATACCAACCCGTACTTATCTATAGACTACTGTGTCCAAGAGGCTAGATCTTGGTAGCACAGGTCAACTTTAAAGGGCCTATATTAGGGTACCCCGCGACTATGCATGAAATGCCATCATTGTATTCGGTATATCCTTATCCTTATCAAATGGCATCAAACTAAGAAACAAATGGCTCCGCCACTAGAGCGTCAACGAAATGTTCTGTCTTAGAGCCAAGCAAAAGTAGAAAGGCCAAGGTGGCAAGAGAGAAGAACGAGCCGCAATCCATTGCCATTCACTTGATAGACAATAGAAATCAGCCGAGAAAAATAGACCAAGACTCTGCGTTTGAACGTAACCCTGCAGACAATCGAGATTTTGATGCGGCACTACAAGTTGCTAATGAGTTATAGTATTCGAGGTTGAAATAAAGTTCAACGATCTTGCAGGCGTCGCTTATTGCTGACTAATATTAACAAGTCAAGCCTACTAAAAACCGCCTAGAACATGTTACGATAGCGCTATATCTTGGATTTACTTGGCCTACAAGTTTAGTGGTCAATGTCTGGAAGAAGTTTCCAGTTTATGACATATTAGTACTGAACACCAATTGGGATCTTCAAAAACACCACATGCTCTGCAGAATTACCCAAAGCATGACTCTTGGCTCTCCTAATATCAACACTATAACGTGATCGGCCGCGTGACCTACTTGACCACATCGGCGTTATGGTTAATAGAGTTCCATGCCTAGAGAGGAACTAGATAACGCGAGCCAGGAACATTATCCGACAACCGGTCCTGTTATCAACAACGGCTGAGTTCCTATCGGACTCTCCTCCTTTTTTCGGAATTCCTCCCCAAGAACCTAGTACCGGTATCCCCCACACATCTTTCTCCATCTCCCCGCTCTCTTCCCCAGTAAGCTTCTACCCCATTTTCTTTTTCCTACCATGACCTCACCTAACTGCTTTAAGAGCCCGGAACCCCAAGAAAGTAGAAGCCAACAGCGTTGCCACTGCCCTTGTGTTGGCATTGTCAAACCAAACTTCGTCGAATTCCAAGATTCTGACTTCTCAAGACAGTAGCAGTAAAGTTTACTATCACCGTTAAGCTCCGTGTGCTATCTAAGTTCTGCTTAGAAGATCTTTTGGCATAATTCCAACAATTTGCGAGACTTATGGACGAAACTGCTCGAAGGCTCGACTCTAATTCTATCTACTTCCAACTTTTGTCCCCCCTATCTGCTTAGCATTGGTTGAAGCGATAAATTGAAACTGCCGACATCCTCAATCTTCATAGACTTTTCGTTCTCGCGTTCCTAGCTTTCTAAGTTATCTATCTCTTCCACATCCCCAACCCATTCCTCAAACCCTGAGACCACTAACCCGAGTCTCGATGACGAAGATGAAGATCAGTTTATCCACTCAACCCACTCCCCTTCTCCCCAAATCCCATCCCATCAGGAACCCCATCCTCTCCAATATCAACATCAATATCCCCTACCCTCCTTACATCATTCATCCTCAAGCTTTCCTTGCCTCCATCGATACCACCCGATCAACCTTCACACAATTCTCCAAATCATCAATATCACAATCAAACCTCGCCTATCCCTATCCACCGGCCCAATCGACGCAAATTTATCTCCAAGTCGTAGGGAATCTAACAATCCAGGCGCTGCCCTCTCCTTTCTCCTTTCTTCCAACATCCATGTATTGTTCTTGGAACGAGGACCTTCATGTTTTACCTACCTAGTATTACAACAATCATCTTCTCGAGCTTCATGTACAGACATTTTAAATAATTTCCTTCGACCCAAACATGGAGATGAAGCCGTGAGATCCTAATGACGTAAATTTACGCGACTACCTACTATAACAAAGCGCCAATCAGTATCACGTCACCAATCAATCATTCACATCAAGTGGCCAGATATTCAAAGTACGCAATTGAAATATTCATAACCATCAATTCATGTCTGTCCATCCTTCCCATCCACCCATTGATTCATCCATTACTATCCTTCCTATATACATACACTGGCCTTTCACTAGTTACTTCCTTCCTTTTATTTATCTCTTCATCCTCAATCCATTCCCCAGTCCCCCCTTTCCTCGCTTTCAAACATCCCCACATCCAACTCTCTGACCAATATTCCCTCCCCATATTTTCATTCTTCAAGCAATTTCCAATTAGGAATTTTGAAAGCCAGGCTAAAACCAGAACCACCCAATTCAACGAAAACGAAGAGACTTTTGAATTGTTTCGCTTTTCCGCCCATGATGCATACCAGCAGGAAAAAAAGACGCCCAAATATCAACTATGAGATGCCCTCATTCATGTAATAAGTTGTAGTAAAAAGTTATTTTTGTTAAGAAAAAAATTACACGAAGAAGAGAAACATTGTATTTATCCATGTAAACCACATGTTCTTTCTTTCATCATCTTTCTTCTTTCTTTATCTTTCACTGTTGATATTATTAGTATAGGCTCAATCTACAGTAAGGTCAATGGGGATTGGGGTAGAATGAAAAGTACAAACCTGGATCGTAGACTAAGAAGTCATGTAAAGCATTTCCTGCTGGTACCATTGGTAAGACAGGTACCTTCTTATCGGTAACAACCTCCAAGAGTGCCGGTCCATCACTGTCAATCAACCATTTCAAAGAATCCCTTACGTCATCTGGCTTGATACATCTTCTGTGTTGTACACCCATTGCATCTGCCAATTTCATGAAGTCTGGGTTGACACTGTGAGTATGAGCGTATCTGTCCTGGTAAAAGATGTTTTGCCATTGAGTAACCATTCCCTGCTCTTCGTTGTTAAGGACAATTACCTTGACGCCGATGTTGAATTGAGCTGCAGTGGAGAGTTCAGTAAGTGTCATGTTGAACGATGCATCTCCATCGATATCTATGACAAGAGCATCAGGTTTGGCAACCTTTGCACCGATAGCTGCTGGAAGACCGTAACCCATGGTACCGAGACCACCAGATGTGATCATAGTTCTTGGATATCTCCATCTAAAATGTTGTGCAGTCCACATCTGATGTTGACCGACACCAGTAGCGATGATGGTCTCATGTTTTCTATCGGCAGTCAAATTTGATAGTTCCTCGATCAAAGTCTGTGGCTTGATAAGACCACCTCGTTCAGCCTTTTCGTAGTGAGAAAGAGGGAACTTCTCCTTCCAGAATCTAATTTGGTCAAACCATTCTTTGCGTTCATCCATGGTCTTCTTGTCAACCGCTGGAAGAAGTTGAGCAAGGTTGGTAACAACATCACCTTCAACAGCCTCGGTAGCCTGAACAACCTTGTTTATGTTCTTTGGCATAATTTCAAAGTGAACAATGCCACCACGACCTTCAGCTGCTGCTGCCTTTGCTGCTGGGGCAAACTTTGGAATGCTTCCGGTTACACGATCATCGAAACGTGCTCCAAGAGCAATGATGAGATCAGCTTCTTGCATGGAGAGGTTAGCGTATGCAGAACCGTGCATACCAAGCATGTGTAAAGACTTCTCATCAAGCTCGTCGAATCCACCAAGACCTTGAAGAGTTGTCGTGACAGGGATGGATGCCTTTTCGGCAAGCTCCTTGAGCAATTTAGGACCCTCTGGAGTAGAGATAACACCTTGACCAGCGTAAATGATTGGCTTCTTGGCGATATTGATTAATTTTGCAACACGTTCAATTGAACCTGCAAGTTGCTTCTTTTGAACAGCCTGGGCCGCTCTTGAGGCTTGACTGGGTAAAGATGGCATGATGTGGTGGGTAGGGATGGCCTTTCGTAAGATACCAGCTGTAACATCCTTTGGTAAATCTACCAAAACTGGTCCAGGTCTTCCAGAAGTAGCAATCTCGAAAGCCTCCTTGATTCTTCTTGGGAGTTCAGCAATGTTCTTAACCATAACGTTCCACTTTGTACAAGCTCTCGAGATGCCAATGATATCGGCTTCTTGGAAAGCATCACTTCCAATTGCAGTTGTAACAACTTGTCCGGTGAAAACAACCATTGGCGTTCCATCAGATAAAGCGTCCTGCATTGGAGTAATAACATTGGTAGCACCAGGTCCAGATGTAACGAGAACAACACCAGGTTTACCACAAGCTCTGGCATATCCTTCCGCCATATGTCCAGCACCTTGTTCATGTTTTGGTAAGATAAATTCGAAATGTTTCGAGTTGTAAATCGCATCGAAAACTGGTAAAATCGCTCCTCCTGCATAGCCGACTATTTCTCCATTAGCTCCAATTCTTGACAAGTCAGAGTCAAAAACTCACAGATATGTTTGACATCTTGCCGTAACATCATCTCATGGAAGATCTCTCCACCGGTCATGCCAATAAATCTATTCCAAAATTAGAACCTTCTTGTGTCACCTCGCAGAATGATGGGCATAACATACGACTCATCCATCTCCGAGTATCTTTGTCCCTGTCCTGCCAATTCCTTGCCTGAATCGTTTTTCGGAGATGTGTTATTGAATGCTGGACTTGGACTTTCTCTAACTTGACTATATTTACATGTCAGTCCACTGTCTTCCATCCCGAAGTGACTCAACCCCAATTTCTGGATTGAATCTGAAATCTGAACCCGCAGAAAACATCCGTAGATTTAAACAAATGAGAGAGTCATACCTAGCAGCTTGAGGAGCAGCAGTAGCTTGCGCCCTCGTGCCCTTCTTCTCAACCATAATACCACCCGCCGCCTTCACACGATTCGACAAACCCCTTGCACCAGCGACATCCAACCATCTTGTACTGCTACCAATTGTGCGAATAGCACGCCTGGCGGGTATTGAACGAAGCATCTTGACTTTTGTTCAATTTCAAAGTGGAGTTTCTGTAGATATGTTCCGATATCGAACCTCAAGAGGCAAACGAATAAAGAGAAGGAATGAAAGTAATCACAATGGCTCAACTAAATCCGGAAGAAGAAATTGAGTAATTTCTCAATTGAATCTTGCTCAGAGGAAGGGAGGTAATTGTCGCAAAAACTTTATGAGCAAGAAGAGTTGGTAGGAAAGTTGAGAAAATATGACTTGTGACTTTAAAGATGTGATTCATACCATCCAACAATCTTTAATGGAACCCTCCGTCTGCCCTTTTTCCCAATTTTCTAGCGGTATCGGGGGCAAAATGTGGGGTAGTGAGTGAAAGGTTCTTTTTAGACTTTCTGTCAATTTGATTGGTTGGGGAAGTGAAGAGTGCATAAATCGTGCATAAAGGGTCACTCCAATCAACAATCATCTTTTACTGTTTTATGATTTATGATTTATGATTTATTTTTTATGACCACCAGCGGACTTTCAATGTTCTAGATTGGGTGGATAAATCCAAGTGATGAGGTAGGTCAATGCATCTGATATGAGAGCCTACCTAGGTACATACATATATTGCAACAATTTATTCTGTCGACTGGTTTTGCTTTGCTCTATAGGGGTGACTAGTAATGAAATGTGTGAATTAGTATTGGAAGTCTGCATTCACCTTGTCCAATTCCATCCCACAAAACCAACAAGGATACCAGACCTCAATCACAATTTGAAGTCCCCATTAACTTTCTCCCATCCTCTTACTACTCCCTCATTCTCCCCAATATCCACCATCCCAGCAACCTTCTCAGCCAACGCAACCTTCAAAGTTCTTGATCTCTCTGTGCATAATTCATAGATAGTACTTAGGTTGAATGTTAAAGCGTGGAAAGAATTGTCTTCTGCAATCAGTGATTCGAGAATAGTTCTTGCCTGTTGCTTAAATTGTGAGTATGTATGATGTAGCGGGCTTCATAATGGAAGAAACGATAACCATAACAGGAAACGGATGCTGGGGGAGGGAATGATACATACCTCATCACCACGACCCAAGTACAATAATGTGACACCAAGGTTTTGTCTCCACATAGCCTTTTCTCCTTTTCCAGCGACCGTCTCCTCGTTGGCAATGAGCTCTTCCCAAATGATAACTGCTTCCTCATAATTCCCTTCAGCAACAAAAGCAAGAGCTCTGATTGTTCCATCTATCTCACTCGCCTTAAATTCACCCCCTTTCGCCTTCTTCAGACACTCCCTTGCAGCATCAATGTCCCCCAAACACAACCACAGTAATGCCTTCTGAGCCCTTAATTCCTCATCTCCCTCTTCATTGACCTTCAAAGTCTTCAGATGCATCCCCGCTCCTACTAAATCTTCCATCTCAATCAGGGCACTCGCAACTCTGATACCCAAATCCGCCAATCTCCTTTCCCATGTTACGATCTCACCATCTAAGGCATCGCCAGCTACCTTACGTTTCTTCAATTTTGTCAACATACTTCTAGCATCTCTAGCCAAATCATAGTACCCCATAACACCTCTTCTCGCATCCCCTAATCCCATGCCCTGCAATCGAACTGCCAAAACCCTCAGCTCCCATCCTACCATATGTGTATCCGTTTCATCATCTCGATAGTAAGCAGCATTAAGATCCTCGAGAGCTTTGACTTCTTGAGCTGCAAGTTGTGTCTGATTACAGAGCGTAAGACATGCGAGACGGATATAGAAGAGGTTGAAAATCTCATCATGTGATGAGGGTCCAGGATTGGATGTTAATAGAGTAGCACTCAGAATAGCCGCGGCTCGAAAATAGCCCGCTGCCAGGAGTGACGAAAGAGTATTAACATCAGGATTAGGTGGGAGTGATGAAGCTGGGGAAGAACGAAATGGTGGTGGAATTTCAAGAACGGGTAGAGGATGATAGATTTCTGGGCGTAAGAGATAGGTGAAGTCTTTCTGAAGTGTTGAGACTGTTGATTGAAATGATGTGTTTTGTGATGGCGAGAGCGATGTGGGAGCTGTCATGAAAGTGTTGGTTGATAGATTCGAGCCGGGACTCGGTGACGGGAGCCTAGGTGTTCGGCTTCTTGGCGCTGGGCCACCTGGTGAAAGTGTTCGTGTTTGTGTGGCATTAATGTAATTTGTAGGCGACAAAGGACTATTTAGAGGTGAACTATCTAAACTTAGCACTTGGTGTTCCTGTACATAGGAGTGATACGCACTCGTTGATATCCAACGGACCTCTTGTCGGCCGTCTGGGTAAAGCTGTTGTGCGATTAGTCCAGTGCTGCTTGCTTCGATCCATGGTTCAAATGTCGTTCTGTGTATACAAACAGAATATCGAAGGTGTTTAGTTGAAGACAGAGACAACCTTTAAACAAGGCACCTTCCAGGGGAGAGCCACGTGCCAAGGAGTCCCTACCGTATTCATGAAAGTCGCGCGCTCGTGTGACTTCCAATAAAACCAAGGATATAAACACGGTTCTCCAACTATCTTTGAATTCTTCTAGGTACAACCACATCATTTCATCCGAAGTAATGACTGTAGCTCTTGGAAGGTCCTCATGATGGTGGTGGAGATTGCTTCAAACACCAGCCCGTTGCATTGCGACAAAGAAGAAAGCTTACCTCTCCCCGAAGAAGCTTGCCTAACATGTTTTTTCCCTCCCGACCCGTTTGATGAAGTACCTTCCATATTTTGATTCGCTTTGATGATATCAGATGTGAGGGACGATGAGCGAATCAATCAACGTTCTAAGTTTATGCATTTCTATCGAGGTATGTATGCAACCGTGCACATAGTTCTAAAGCCATTTTGCCCCTCTTTTTCTGTCACCGACTTTAGAAAAGGACCTCATCGTCTCCCTTATCTTATTTCAATATAATTTTTATGATTTGTTAAGTTGGCTTACAAGATTTTTTTCTTTTCTTTTTCTTCTGCTCTAGAGGCATTGTTGCTACAACATGAACTTCCAGAAAGCTAATCCTCTACTATATTACTACCGGAACCATTATACATGCTTATGAATATCGGACAAGAACTTGTACCACTTTCCAAATGATCTTGACTTTACTGCTTCGCTTGAGTACTTTTCAATAGGTACTGATACTATGTCTACACTCATTTGACATCTCATTTGGTCGCTGCGTCTTTTCGTTGTTTCATTCGGGGTGAGGACTATTTGCAGAACAGCTTCTGAAAGATAATACCTCACTTGCTATTAGAGAATACATGAAAAGAATAGCCGCAAGTGCCATACTCAAAATGCCGCAGATGAATTGCTAGGCATGCCTTGGGATGAAAGTAAGAGTTACCATGGAAAAAAATTGGCCACCACCATCTCGAAGGAATTGCAAGCAACTCGTTGGAAGGTGTATATGCCATCAAGACATTCGTCCATAGCACCTCTCTGGATACAGTCGCCTGTGAATTCTATCACTTTGTAAATCCCATGACAGGGGTGGAGGGTTAGAAATGCCGCAACAGCAGAAGCAGGAAGTTGAAGTGAGATAGCAGATATACTCATCAAACAACACATCAATTTCCGAGCTAACCTTCAGCTAGCTAACAATAAGTTTATATTGCTCAACTCAGTCCTGAGCATATCAGACGATCAAAAATTCTTGACTGGGTCAAAGAAACAATCTTTCTGTAGGTACCTAACTAGGGAGTGGCGAGAACCTGACATACACTTTGCTTCACCACATCATCGACACCACCATCCCTCTTCCCTCCCTGTCTACAAATTGATATCTGATAACAACACTATAAACCACTCAGAATATAAGTTTAAGAACTTCATCTCTCTTGACCAAAACAAATCAAGTAATTTTAAAGAGCCATCCTGTGATCTGTCCGCCTGACTGGTTTGGGAATCACTTCAGCATGTATTTCTTCGATCGTTACCTACCTGCCTAGTAGGTAGGTAGACATATAATGCGTTAGAAATAACGTCAACTTTCACCTTACTCTCCCTTTTGTATAAAATCCCTCTTCATAGATATGTTGACATACACATGCACATCTTCCAAAATATCAACGTTTGATCTCTAGTAGACAGTGGAAAAGGTTCATATTTGATTTCAGATCTGACCATCACCCAATTGTTCAGGACTATCATAATAGCCATCAAAAACAGAACCTCTAACAAAATTGGGAATACAATCTATAAAGGGTATTGGTATCGCAAGGCTTTTTATCATCTCTAATAGCAAACTATTATCTAAGCAACATTTCCATCTTCAACAACAACTACCGCACTTCCGCTACCAGGTTTGCTAACCACGATTGCCGCTTCTCTCTGCTCATTGGACAAGTCCTTCTTTGAATAATACTCCTTCTCCCAAGCTTCTCTAACCGCATCAACCTTATTCGCAGGTACTAAATGGACACTGCATCCACCCCATCCGGCACCAGTCAATCTACTTCCATAACTACCCGCTTTCTTCGCAATTTCACAAAGTTCGTCTAGCTCGGGACAACTACAGTCAAAGTCTTCTCTGCAGCTAGTTTGGGTTTCATTCATTAGGTCACCAAGCTTTCGGTTGAAAGTTTCAGTGAAATCACCACCATCGGCATTGAGATAGGATTCGGGATGCTCGAGAACTTTCATAAACTTTAGAACTCGAAGGGCTTCGGTGAAAACGTGGAGGGTTCTTTGGCGAAGCTTGAAATGTTCAGCGCGGACGGGGAAAGTGGAAGTGAAGCGCTCGTTCAACTCAGAGACTGTCATATTGATGACGGATGCAATTTCTTCTCTAGTATATCCCTCTTCTTTTGTAAATGTTTTCTTTGTGACTTCAATAAGTTCCGAAAGTTGTTCTTCGAGTGGTGCAGTGGAATCTCCAAGATATTTACTATGGAATCCGTGGAGCGAGACACCCAATGGTCCAGAGTCGGAAGGAAGGGGGTCCTTTGATTTGTTGATAGCTGCGTGAAGATAGGCGGCGGCAAGACTGCATTCTACAACTCTCAAGTTGTAGCATACTGGACCAGTGACATGCTTATCTGCTGCGACAAATGATTGTGCGATAACGAATGTGAGTTCAGGATTTGTTTTTGGGAAGTGAACGGGCTTTGCAGTCAAGGTTGGATTGAAAGATACGTATAATGCTGAGCCCCGAATGGAGAAGACCGATGCAGATTGATCCATTCCGCCCGAGTTGACACCTACTGCTCTCTCACTGACAATAGCCAATTCTGTGAGTTGCGTCTTGTCAACAGATTGCTCACCA